GCGGATGTCCATGGGCGTCGCTGACCACCTCGGTGTTCTCGCCGCTCGTTTGCCCCCTTTTATTTTAAAAAAAATATCCATTCTCAGCAAACCACGAGCAGTCATAAAGTTTGAATCTTATGATAACGCAAATCTATATATTTTTTTAAATGTAACAGTATTACGTATGTATACAGTTATAACATTGATTTCACATTTATTTCAATACATACCATTGAAAACCAAAATAAAATTAGCATTAATAATAACAAAAATATATTTTAACATTGTTTTTTTTTATATAATTTATATTTGATTAATTCATGAACCGATTAATGCATCAAGGTTAATGTTAAGGTTAAATTGTAATTATATCGAACATATTTTATTCGTTTACATTTACATTTATTTGATTATCTTAATACGTAATAAGATTATTTATTGCGATAAACACAAATAGGCCTTGTCCATGTGATTATGAGATAATTAACTCTGTGATATTATTTATTAAAAAATAACAGTAGTAGCAAGATAACGGAGTAACATTTATCTATTTTGGTTATCAACAACTTAAATTATGTTTGGAAACTCTATATTAGAACTTATCTTAGTCTAGATTATAAGAATACTAGAGTACCTAACGCTCAATCGAAGTTCCCAGACAAAAAAGTATATTTTTAAGTCAATTCCTATTTTCAGGTGACCAACAGTAATATCTAAATACATTAATTTAAATAGGAAAGAACGTCTATAGTTCTGTTGGAAAATAAACCAATTTAATGAAGTGATAACGAGTCTTTTTTTATTTTGAGATAGAAAAAAAACTATATTACATCGATCTCATGCAAGTATTTGAACTTGAGCTAACTAAGAGTGAACTAATAATACGAGTAAGTGTTTGAAAACATTGTGTTTATTGGTGCATTTAACATGACGTATATCGAAGGTATTTCTGCTGCAGTTTCCCCAAGGGTGTACAAGTCTACACTGAATTTAACAATCGCCGTCGTGTATGTAGGCCGCTGTATATTTGTACAAGCCACGCCACTGAAATATCGAACTAAAATTGTATGTGTCTATCACAAACATGACAAACAAACTGTGTATATGTTGGTTAATGAAATAGTATGGTTAGCTAACGAATTTTTTTTAGTTTAAATTGCAAGCTGTTTTTTTGAAGCTGTAGGTAGAATAGTTAACGTAACTTTTTTGCCATTTTGCTATATAAAACTATCATGTTAATATTAAAGAATAACAAACATTTTCATAAAACTTAACAGATATAAAATCGCTAAAAATAAGTAAATGGAATAAAACGATACATAACACAAGTATATATCGAATAGAACAACAAAAATAAATTGCGTTAAAATTCCGTACATACGTCTAATGCTACTTCTGTAAAGGATATCGCGTTATCTCATTTCCTCTATGTGTACTTTAAACCGCAAAATATCCATTGTTTCGATGTTAAAGGCCATTTATAAAAAAAACATGCAGTTTAACTACGCAATAACGTCATGAGGCAAGAACAATAATTTTGCTCACCTAATATCGCATCTGACAATTTAACAAAAATGCACGTTGACAATTGGCGATTTTCCTACAATATTTGTAATAATTTTGCGGTCAACGAACTACATTCATTAACATAAGCAATATCTTACTAATGTTAAAAATGCGAAAGTTTAGATGAATAAATGGAAGAATGTTTGTTAACGTTTGTAGCCTAAACGACTAAACGGATCTCGATGATATTTAGCACAGATGTAGATGATGTCAATTCGATATTAATCACTCGATTTCCCTTAATAGATTGCAATAAAATACTGCAAAAAATACAATCATTTATTGAAAAAGACGTAGTGTAGTTATTATCTAGCACCAACAAACTCTTCAACCTTTTCAAACTGATCATTTGATTTTAGGCTAGCAGCCAGTATTTTGAAACACATAACCAAATTATACGATTTGAAATGGGAACTACGTGGGGCTGACATACTCAGTGAAGAACGGGGAGCAGTGGTCGTATCAAACCATCAATCTTCACTCGATATTTTGGGTACGTAATTAATTTATAACAAAGTTTTTAAACAGAATTCTCATTACCAACAGCGGTCTACATTAGGCGTAGGATTTTCAAAGCCTACCTTCTATACCCAGAGAAGTGTAATAATTAAAAAAAATTCACTTAGCGTAGATTTGACTTAACGTAAGGAATCAATTTTGATCAATAAGCAAAATGGCATAATTTTGCAAAATTATTACAAAGCAAATTCGCATGACATATTACTCTGGATGATTATGAAAACATATATTTACGACCGGTTTCCCACCTACATTTAACCATTCGTTAATGTTTGGTTCGATAACTTCTGGAAATGCGTTTCCGAACTACGTAACTTGAGTTTTATGCTGTTGAAACTTCGGTCAACATAACGCTAGTAAATCACTAGGTAACGATTAAATAAATGGAAACTTCAGCAACCCAGCATGAAAGCGTTAAACTAATCTATCTGTTTACAGGTATGTTCAACATTTGGGAAATTGCTGATAAATTAACAGCAGTCGCTAAAAGAGAGGTTATGTACGTGTTTCCATTCGGATTCGCCGCATACCTCGCCGGTTTAATTTACATAGACAGAAATAATCCAAAACGAGCGAGAGAGCAACTTAATATGACGTCAGATGTTATGGTTACACAAAAGGTATGATATAATAATAAAACACAATGAATCACATATTTTATTAAGGAAAAAGATGTTTATTCAAATAAAACGTATGGCATTACTAAAAAAATATCGTTGGTACAGTCCTAACAAAGAATTTTTCTCACAGATAATAAATTTTGTATGAATTCAACACAAAGTATACAATTGCTGTATGAAGTGACCCTTGTCCTAATTTCTATTTGTTTCATGGCAACATTGTTAAGGAGTCACGCAATTCACAATCATTCTAATCGTGTAAAAATCATCTTTTAGATGATTGACTTCCACATTAATATTTTTTTTATGTTTAAGACAATTTATCGCCGGTGTTTTTGTTTAAAAGTTGTTCTATGTACACCGAAATCGTATTCGTAACTACTTAACTTAAAAAAATATCACGCACTTTATGAATAAACACAATACGAGCTAATCGTCGTGGAAAATCGTTAGTATTTTTTTTTTCAAGTACACAATATGCCTCTTGTCTCTCAAAGAGTATTTACGTATTTTTAATCTACTTAATCTGCTTGAAGTGTTACTTATAACTAATAATGTTTTTCCAGTGAAATATGGAATAATGGTACAGTGAAACCTGGATAAGCTAAAAGTAGATTATTTAGAAACCTTTTTACGCGAGAAAAATATTGCGGTCCCTTGAATTCTTACTTGACTTCGACTATATTAACAACTAGCTGTTGCTCGCGACATCACCCGCGTGGAATTTAAAAATAATAATAGCATAATGGTCAAAGAGTTTTCTTTAATTGGCCCCGTAGTTATTGAGTTATTTCAATAGATACAAAAATACAAATTTTCCCCTTTATAATACTAGCATAGATGGACACATAAAATTATTATAGTAATGGTTACTATATGTGGTTACAGACAAAAATCTGGCTATTTCCTGAAGGGACACGAAACAAGGATTACAGAAGTTTATTGCCTTTCAAGAAAGGAGCATTCCATATGGCCGTCGCAGCACAAGTTCCCATCATACCCGTAGTATTTTCACCTTATTATTTTATAAATATCAAACAAGGAATTTTCAATAAAGGTAAGAAAAATCTGAATTTTCCTATCTAAGTAACTTTATAAATGCGATTATACATGGATGGATGGATGTTTGTTAGAGTTTGTAGCCTAAGCCGCTGGACGGATCGCAATGAAATTTGACGTATAGGTTAGTCTGAAAGAACTCATAGGCTACTCATTTTTGTTTGTTTTTAATTCCACGCGAACGGAGTCGTGAGCGGAAGCTAGTTACAAATAATTAAAATAACGTTTTGAATAACTAATTAATTTTGGTTCGTGTATAAAACAAGGAAACTTTATATTATAACTTCTCACGTAATTACCTTTCTTATGTAACAAAAAAATCTGTTTCTATTCAAATATATAGTAATTTTGACTCCCACGGTTGTTACTAGTCGACAAGTTACAAGCATTATTTGATAACCAAGATAATGGATTTTGTCCAAATTTGAGCAAATGCGGATTTAAATGTTGTTACATCATTAATCTCTCCTTAGTAAAAATATAGCTAAATATAAAGTTCTATATCTTCGAATTGCGGTCAAACGCTTTACGATTCGTGACAGAGGGACTTATCACGAATATTTGTGAGTTCGTTTTCGTTACATCATCGATAAAGTATTGTGAAGGGGTTGTATCAAGCATAAAGTACACCAACAAATCTCATACAAATATCGATAACATTATGAATACGTTCTCACGAATATTGATAATTAGCCCTCAGTTTCTTTGTTATTATCATGATTGTGAAACACCAATACAAATAGGTATTGTTGTCTCTCTTGTTCACTTTGAAAAAAACAGATACAATAAGTTTACATGCTTCGAATGATAAAATTTGCGGTAAACCTCAACATCGTATAAATGATTTACACAAGAAATATATATTTTATTACACTAGGTGAAGCTATTAGCCTTTTAATGTAAATAATGTATTATCCATTAAAAAAAACTACACATAAAATTTTACAAAGGAAACCTCCATTCCTGAGCTGCTTTCTTAAGCTTGTAATAATTCAAACAAAGCTCTGCTAAACTGAAGCTTTCTCAAATCTGCTTTTCCGCTTCTCGCTGTTGTAAGCTTTTCCCAAAAGGTATTTTTCTTGTGTTATAAGAATGATTTTTACTGTTTCTGTACGACAGCATAGATTAGGTTTAATTTCTTATTTTATTACACCACATGCGTCCTGTAAAACCTGTTTATTGGCTGATTACTTTATCTATTACTTATTTTGCTATTTGTAATCTACTATAGCTGTTAAAGACGTGTATTAAATTCGAATGTACAAGTACGTAAAAATCTACAAACTAGCTACTAACTAACTGTTGCCTGCCTACATTCCCGTGAAATAAAAAAATGTACATGTAGATACCACATCTTTTTAATGTTAAAAGGTTTTAATCAGCCCAGCCCTTTTTGAGTTATTTCAATACATACAAAAGTACAATTATTTCTTCTTTATAATATTAGTACAGATTATAAATTTTCTAATCAACTTTACATTTTGTTCCAGGTCATGTTATAATTCAATGTCTCGAACCAATACCGACAAAGGGATTAGGTCCAGAAGACATCGACGACCTTGTAACACGAGTGCGCGATGCGATGTCCACTGTCTACAAAGAATTAACTAAAGAAGTCATAACGAATTTACCATCAGATTACCCACATACGACAGTAGGATAAATTTGATTAAAATAAATATTATTTATTTGTACATGTGATATACTTACTATTAAAATATTTAAAAATAGAAATTTGTAATTATTACTTACCTTTTGCATTTCAAAGTGTAGTAGTTGTACAACCATGTATTTTATAAGATAAATCTGAAGAGGTAAAAACCTAAGTGACTGCTAAGGTTATGGAATCTGTCTATTCAGAAAATGTATTTATTTCTTTAAGTAATCCTAAATAACAAGCGGAAGCATTTAATAGAGGGAGGAAAATGTGTAATAAACATGCTATTTATCAATCGTATAATTAATATATCGCAAATGGATAAGTAAACCGCCAATTAATTTATTTACTGCAATAGTAATTTGTATATTCATGTTAGTTAATTCTTTTCAAGCTTCAAATCACAAATTCAATTTAGAATCTGAAAAATAATCCTGGTTAGGTATTAGGAATAACGTAAACTATACATCAAAAATATTTTAAAGTAAAAAGGGAGGTGACATTTTTAATAAATCTGGTGACGGTTTGTTAATTTTTTGGGCCTGGATAAGGCATGTAATAAAAATTATTTAAATTTAATGCCTAATTTATCTTGTATGTAACTAAAAATAACAGTGCAATAAAAAGGTACATTTACCAAATAAGACTCTTGGTGCATTACGGCTGACAACACTGATAGTGGTATTGTCACACCAATAACTGTCAAGTATATGTCATGAGTCACAACTGTAATGAATAATTAAAATTTTTTATTTTGAACTCAGGTCTTATAAAGCTTCGCTTCGGTTATTTAAAACAAACGTTACGCAGTGTAAAGACCTGTTTTATGCGCAAAATCTATTCATTCAATTGTGGCGGAAATAATAGCAAATAGCGGAATTTAATTACGCTATCCGGAAATTAATTATAACAAAAAGTGTTTGCAGTTCAATAACACGAAAGTAAATAATACAATCATGTGGGACAAGTTTATTTATATTTTTGTGATTACTTTATCAACGTACATTTTGAAACAGCTTTTCTCAGAGACTCCTAATTTTATAAAATATAAATCTAAATTCCTAATATTTTACTTCACCGCTTCTGTGGTTTCGTTATTTTTAATGCCATTTTTTGTATTCAACCCGAAAAATGTTATGAATTCATTGTAAGTATGCTATATTTTTGTTTTTTTAAAGACATAATTCTTTTATTTACATTAATCCTTTACTAAATTATAGGATACAAAATTAGGTGATATATTTCTGACATTACTGTGTTAATAAATCTATCTTAAATTTTATTCAATACCAAAATCATTTTTTGGGTTTAAAAAAAATTCACTATGCATAAAAGGGCAAGAGTTAAAAATTGAATCAGTAATTGAACTGAACACCAATTGAATTTAAGCCTTGAGAAACAATTGAATTTATTCAATACTACTGTTGAACAAAGAGAATTGTCTGGGATTCCCTTTACTTGATTCTACTTAACTTTAACAGCTATTTATATAATCTAAGATTAATTTTTTAGATGCCCATTTTGTGAAAAATATGTATTTTTGCATATTTAATGTAAAATATGCCTAAAAACCACAGCATTTCAACATTAACCTGTTAACTTAATTCTATAGCTTTGTTGACATGTTGATATATTTTTCTATTTAACAAAATATATTTATTATATTAATAATGTAACTTATAGAATGTTTTTAAATATACTTACTAATTTAACTGTCTAAGTAATATTTGTTAGTAAAATTTTGCATTGCCAGGCAAGACTTTTTTTGCAATTATTCATAATATTTGGAGTCAAGTGTGTTGCCAGCTGATCATGTAGTCTAAGTCTAGGGCTATCTAGACAGCTTTAATTAATACAGCCTTTTATATCTATTTTACATGTGTATCACCAATAAGTTACAAAAGTAGAAATTGTATCCTTAGCTTATAAGCATTTAAACATGGAAGAAATCCTTATAAAACATGTAAAAAAGTGTATCAAGACATCTTATATTCAATCCAGTTGTAAACAAAGCCATGTGCAAAAACTGGAATTGTTTACAATTACTTGTAGATAAATAACTCACACCCATACATATCAAAGTCAGGGTCGCAGGTCAAATGTTCTCAGATAAACAATGACGCAGTAACTTGTTTATGCATGAAATATTCTATTGTTTTCAGATTTGGTACACAGATAATAAAACATGTAACTAAAGTCATTGAGGTCAAATGGTTTCTTAGGAATGGAAAAGTATTAGCCGAAGATAGGGGAGCAGTTATTGTATCTAATCATCAATCTTCCCTTGATATTCTTGGTAAGTAATCCTTCTTCATACTAATACTATAAATGCGATAGTTTAGATGGATGGATGTTTGTGAGAGTTTGTATCCTAAACAGCTGAATTGATTTCTATGAGATTTGGTATAGATGTAGAGGATAGTCTGGAAGAACACATATGCTACACAGTTTTGTTATTTTTATATTCCAAGCGGACAGAGTCACGGGCGAAAGCTAGTGTTATCATAAACAAAGGTTGAACAGCCTCTTATATGAAGAACAATAAAGAATATAGTAGTTGTTATATGTTTTTTTTTTAATTATCAAAAAAAAACTAGAGCCTTCTAGAGAAATGTTTTTTTAATATTTCGTTTTCTTTTTATTATTTACAGGTATGTTCAATATTTGGCATGTAGCTGTTAAAATCGCAGCTATAGCAAGGAAGGAAATATTTTACGTATGGCCATTCGGATTGGCAGCTTATCTTGCCGGAGTCGTATTTATAGATAGAAATAATTCTAAAGACGCGTACAAACAACTTAAAATCACATCTGATGTAATGATTAAGAACAAGGTAGGAAAAAAAAATTAAATAACATATTTACCTCTTCAATATTCATTTTAAAATCTCTCTTATATATAAAAAATCAATTTGTCTATGTGTATTAAGATGGCCAATTAATTAGGCAATTTTTATTTAAATCTCTTAAAGTAAAAATTTAAATGGCTCCTAGGTTTTGAATAAAATGATGGCACTGTCATTTATCTTAGATAATATCGAAATTTTTTCTCATGTAATGAAAAATCCATAGTTTCAAGGGTTTTAATGTTTGTTAATATTTTTAAATTATAGACAAAAATATGGGTGTTCCCCGAAGGGACGAGGAATAAAGACTTCACAACGCTGTTACCATTTAAGAAAGGTGCCTTCAATATAGCTGTGGCAGCACAAGTTCCGATACTACCAGTTGTATTCTCACCATACTATTTTATTAATTCAAAGAAATTTATATTCAACAAAGGTAAGTCTTACCTATACTTAATTTAACAAAAAAAAAGGGAAATATTCATAAAGAAATGTCAAAAGTTCTTTAAAAAAACATACAGACAAATTGATCCTTCTTTTTGAAGTTGGAAAACGATCCGCCCATACAAAGCTGAATGTATTGTTATTCTTTTAATAAATAGAAAATTATAGCTGGATATTCTATAAAAACAATTAAACTCTTCAATCAAAAACATGTTAAGTTATTTGTTAATAGTACAAAGACAATGCCTTATTGTCTAAATATAAAATCAATTTAACTATTGATTCACTTGTTACTTGTTTACTTAACATAATATGTAGGCCAGTTACTAATTCAATTACAAATAATCAGAATAAAGTTTACAATGTTCAAATTTTCGACGACATTTCACTGAAATGTATACGAAATAAACGTCCTCGAATTACGAGCCGATAAAGAAATAAATATTAATATTACTTGGTAATATGCATGCCCATTAGTATGTTGTTATTATATTAACCAGCTTTCGCCCGCGACTCCATTCGCGTGGATTTACAAAAAATAAAATTGAGTAGCCTGTGTGTTCTTCCAGACTATCTTCTATGTCCATACCAAATTTCATCGAAATCTGTTAAGTTATTAAGGCTACTAACTCTAACAAACATCCATCCATCTAAACTTTCGCATTTATAATATTAAGTATGAAGTATGATGTGAGGTAAATACATTGTATCACTTTTAAGAGAATTACCTAAACGAATACATATGAAATATAACAATGTTAAAAAAAATCTATCATGTTCATAAAAAAAATACGAATTGTGATAAAATTTCAATCATATACTCCCGTTAGTAGTAAATAGATGATTAATATTATTTTCAGGTCATGCTATCATCCAATGTCTAGAGCCAGTGCCAACAGCAGGCTTGACAATGGATGATGTGCCCGAACTCATTGTTAAAGTAAGAACCATGATGGAAAACGCATACAAGGAACTATCGAAGGAAGTGCTCAGTGCTTTACCCCCTGACTACCCCCTTGCGACGATGGACTGATAATTTGTGAGTTATAACAGAATGTTTTTTATAATGTTCTGTAGGTTCAAATTGATATTTTTTTAAATACCTTCTTAATACTATTATGTACTTGAATTGTTTATATGGAGGCCATGAATTAAATATTCAGAAGGTATTTTGTCGAGGGTAAAATCTGGCTTTTTTTTTTCATCATAATTATAAAGGTGCAATAGTATAGGAAAAATATTATTCAAATTGAAATTTGAAGAAATTTTCAGAAAGTTCCTGTGTATTAATCTTTGGGTAATTAATAGTATTGTGACGTCAGAATATGTATTTTTTTGTTTTTTTTTTTCAAATAATAACTCAAAAAAACATTAACAAGAAAGTAAAATAAATGTTCAATTAAAGTTTTATCTACATTTGATATTTTTCTCATGTAAATATGAAGAATATTTGAGAATCTTAGGATTTCTAAAACTTAAATTTAATATGTCTTTGGTTTATGCATCCAAAAACTTAAAAAAAAATATATATTTATTATAATAAATGAATTTAATGTTTTTTTTTAAATCAGCGAATAAGTATGAAGTCTTTTTGCTTTTTAGTTTGAAATTAAGATGCGGTTTTATTGACGTGATTTTATTTCGATAATTAGAAAATTTTACACACAAATATATCAACGCCAAAAAATTATCTTTATATTTTGCTTTTAAAATGATATTGCCCACCATTATATTATGCATAGTTATTTGCTTTGTGATAATATTTTTAGAAAACTAATACCTTTATTTAAATATTGTACTAATCATTAAGTTAAGGTATTTAGGCTTTTAGGTATTATGTTGGTATGACTCCGTTGAATGTCGTTTCAATTTAACGAAATCGTGAAAGGAAAAACATTTGACAGGTTTATATATTACACTATCTGTTCAGTATTCTGGTACGGATCAACACGTTTATTGCATCAATCTTTAGGATATGATAACCAGGCAAACTGAAAAGGAAGGATAATCCTAATAAAATGGTGAATAAATTTTATTACTCGCATGAGCATACAACTGTTATGCAATAAAATCAATTATTGGTAAGGAAAATGTATAATTATGTTGGCATATAGAAAAGCAATCTCTAACATCATCCTCTACAAAACCTAACCATTTATACAAAAGGCGTACAGCTGTGTTTACGAATTAAATATGCTACTAACTGCAAAAGATGTACAACAGTGGTTTTATTTTACAAATGTAAGAAGAATCAAACAAAAACACCATCCAATTTTTAAAAAATGCATTGAATTTTGTATCTGTAACCATTTAAAACAAAAAAATAGAAAAAATCCCGAAAAATAGCGAAAACATGGTAACCTTACGAACGATAGTGAAATTTACTTTCATTGCGTGGCGCATTGCGTTATTTAGTCTACATAAATTCGTTTCGAATACAAATCACGTCTGGGAGCGACTTCTTTAGTACAGTTTGTACGCACTAAATAGAATTACAATGTATTAGGTCATCTTAATTGAACTACTAAATACAACGTTGATCATATTTCAACATACTAAGGGCCTTTAAGTCAGTCTTCTAGACCTTCTTCAGTCGCCCAGTTAATAATATTCAGTTTATTCCATTTTTAATTATAAGTTTTACAAATATCTGCTACAAAAATTAGTAAAAAACACATGTTTGTAAAAATTCGCCCTTTTTTTGTACATATCATGATTTTTTTATTCACGACGAGCAAGCTTAAAATTAATTTACCCTTAAATACTTTAATTTAGTTTGACTGCTCATGGACTTAATTTTTTTTCAGTTTGCTTAATGTTTTTTTAATTTTTTTTTTTATTTTGTAACATATACTATTTCTAAATGTATAATAAATACTTATTACTGATTAAACTTTGCTTAATTTTTTTTCCATCTTAATAATTTTTAATTCAGAGACCAGATTTTTTTTAAATGACACTTTTTCACAAAAGGATTTAAAACACGCTCTTTTAAAATTTTTAACTACATCAGTGAAATAAAATCATGTGCCATTTACTACAACACATTCTAAAGGGACCAAACAAATTTATTTGTATAATTTATTAAAATAACAATGTTTAAGTTTTTGTAATCAAACCATAAAAATTAAGAATTTAAATTTAACTACAATATACTAATACATAATAATTCTTTCACAACAAAGATTATTTTAAAGAAATAAAAACCGTTCGCTCACACAATTTTAGTTAAGAAATACATTTTAGGGTTATATGTATTAAGCTTATATACGATAATTACTATACTACTAAAATATTATTCCAAAGATTCGATTTATAAATTCGATATCAATTTAGCAGTCGATTACATTCAAATTATATTAATTGAAGTGATATCCATTATAATTTGGTTACTATAACATCACATATCTTCGTGGACTGCACATTTGACACTAAATTCGTATTGTCTCGACAGTATATGTTCAAACCACTCAACTCTTATAATGAACAGGCTAACTGCGGTATTTTGTGTCTTGTCGCCATTTTGACGTTGTTGGTCGCTGTGATTTTTCGACCTAATAGTGATAGACTTAACTGGCATTATAATCAAAGAGCGGGATCAATCCCAACCGTCACCCCGCACTGTCCCCACATGGGGACAGATCCATCAGTTCAACCCTTTAGTCCCACTATCACCAATAAGGTGACAGATGGAACTGTTAAGAAATAAAATAAGTTCCAACCGTCACCTAGTTGCAAAAGGTGGGACATATGAAACATTTTATTCTCAATTGTCCCCAAGTGGAGACAGAGCGGGGTCACGGTTGGGAATAATCCAAAAAAGCGCACTTAAGTTGGAACAAATCAATCCTATCATTTTAAAAATATCACCAATCCATGTATACAGATCAGTAGTTCAAAGTTCAAACAGCAGTAAGCGTTTACTGATCTAACTGCCCTCATGTATATAAGTGACTATTTTTTTAATTCAAAATATGTATATTAGATCCCAAGATTCAAAAAATATTGAAGAAGCATAATTGATAATTCAATTGTAACATTTTTCACATAATCTCACAAGCGCTATCTGGTGGTAATTGAAATACTAAGAAGACTCGACGTGTTTTAGACATTGAGATATTACCGTACAAAGAAGTTACCGGTGAAAAAATTTTGTTCTCTATGTCTATGTATTTCTTAAATGTCTATGTTTGGATGTAGTTTGACTAATTTCATTGTATATTTACTACTATCTTAACAATAGAGTATTTATTGATTAATCTCAGTCTGGAGCATTTATGTTTTAGATAAAACTATGTCATTAAAATCTCGAATATTGTAGAAATGTAAGTATATGTAATCATTGTAATTTTGTAAGATGTATTCTTTACAGATATGTATGTGATATACAATTTAGTGTAGTGTCGTATTTCTTGAATACCAAATGTATATTCGTCTATTTTTTCAAAAAAAAAACTTTTTCAATGTGATCGACTTTTAATAAAATTTTAAATCAAACACGTGTTTTATTTATCGTTTTTTATTCAATAAATAAGTATTTACTGTAAATACAAAATCTGTTATTAAATATACCATAAACATTTCACATTATCACAGCCCCTTTTACATACATGTTTATTTTTACTTTACCTGAAACAAGATATTTTAAATTTTTACTGGATTTTTTGTATAAAAAGATATATTTTTTAAAACGAACCTATTGCGTCTACGAATTTGAAAATAAACTAATTTTTCTTCTAAAATAAATTATTTTATAATTATCATTTTATTAAATTCAACCATTTTCATCTGTTCATGCAGTAGTAGAGAGTGCACATACACAAAAAATGTTGGCATTTTATGAAATAAAATTGGATATTAATTTTTAAAAATCTATTGTACATTTATAAGACCCTTTCTACTATTTTGACCCGAGAGCATTTGTTAATTAAAGATAAAAAGTGCTAGGTTCAATAAACCCAAGATTTTGTAAATCACTGCCATCTAGCGGTGATGATTAAATACTAAGGCACAACTCTAGCGGAAAGTTATTCGCAGCGTTGCAGCCGGCATTTGAAACGCGATTTAACTGTATGCCGATAGATGTCGCTAGCACACTTAAATCTAAACCACTCAAACTTTTTTGAAAATTTTTAATATTTAATTCACTTGCACACATAAAAAGCTAACATTTGTATATGCTCCGTATGCACTTACAAATAAAATCAGTTAAGATACTATAGTTAGCAAAAATCTTAGTAAACTACGTCAATACTCTTAAATAATTTTGGATTCTAAATAATAATTGTATTGTTTAGTACTCACATTTCAGTCATGTTTTTCCTGCATGGCGAGCCTTGATTTCGTCTCTGCCGATACTCTCGTAAATGTTTCTTGCATCGTCATCTGAGTGGTCTCCATTAGCGCGGGAATGTCGTCTTTGCTTAAATGTTCAGTTTCGATTCTGGGTAATATAGTTATTACTACTTCACCTGGAACAGAAAAAAATATTAGACAAGTATATCGTTATCCTTAAAATTTATTAGTCAGTAAGAACAAGGCGTGTATAAATTTTTCATCTATACCTACTATCCATACTAATGTTTTAAAGAGGAAAGATTTGGATTTTTATTTGTATTGAAATAACTCGAAAACTACTGGGCTACTTTCAAAAATTCTTTCGCCATTAGAAAGCTACGTTATAAGTTATGTTACTAACATAGGCTATATTTCTTTGGTCCAACGAAAAACGATTTATTGCAACCAAACACTTTTGTGACAGTTCTTTTTATTGTATATATCAATCTATGAATAACTTTCGAAAACTTAATTTTTGCAGAAAAGGTTATGCTTAACTGTACCGAACGACAGTTTTATTATCGTCAAAAGCGGCTTTCTAATGCGATATACTCGATAAGGATGGTATTACAAGCGTTGATATCACTTGCACTCCACGATAACAGCAAATAGGCCTGCCGGTAGGCATTCATGTTTGTAGGTCAGCGGGAACAATTGAATAACAATATTTCAACTTGGATGGATTATATCGCTTACGTTAATACGTGTGTAGGTAACCAACACTAATAGCCGGTTTCCCAACTACTTTTAACATTCTGTGTTCTGGTCGGTAACTTCATCAAATGCGTTTCCGAACTAGTAGCTTATCCCTTGGTAACGATAAAATAAATGGTAGGTACATAACTGGTGGTAAAATAACTTCAGTAACCCAGCTTAAATGTCTTTAAACTTTACAATACCTAATACGTTTCCATCATCATCATCATCCACTTGCCCTTATCCCTTACGGAGAGTTGCGCACAGTATGTGCTGCTCTTCCATACATCTTTATCAGCCGTCATATCTGAATCCACTCCTTTCTTAAACATATCCTCTTTCACACAATCCATCCATACTTCATCCACATTCAATCTTAACACTTTCTGGTTTATGTCCCCATCATTTCGTCGCATAACATGTCCATACCACGCTAACCTTTTGCTTCTCAACAATAGCTAATACGTTTCCAATTGTACAAAATCATTTCAAGTTTTCGAACATATTAAATTATTTTATTCATATTCATACACACAGGTTAAATTAGTCTTAAATATACCTGTTTTTGTCCAATAGTTATGTGAGGGCGTGTTCATTTCAAATGACAATTTTCCATATTTATATCTTCGTTAATCGGTATTAATTTTAAATTTAAATTATTACCACTTATAAAGGATACAAACCGGTATAGATAACAAGTGAAGGACAAACTTTTCATTACAAAATACACAATAAAAAATTATCACTACAGTCTAAGCGTAATAATCACGAACAAAATCGGTCTACAGAACATATAAACCTAACGCACATACAAAATAAAATAATTGGAACAACTAAAGCATCTATTAAAGCCACCATTATAGCTTAAAATTAATTGAGATTTGCTTAAATTATTCTAATACGTTATTATTCTTATCTCTTTTGTCCGTATCAATTAATTCGGGTGGTCAAGTCTAGTCCAGAGGGTTTATCCCGAATATGCGTGAGGACATTTGTCGTTGTCGATGACGTCATGCAATTCGTAATAGACCTTCAGGTTTTGTACTTTTTAACTGCAAGGGAACTCTGGAAGTCCCTTAATGTAATTCGTTAGTCTACATCTAACATGTCATAACGCAGTACTCACCAGAACCGAATCTAAGTCGTTTGTCATCGAGAAAATGATACTTGGAGATGACGACCGGCTGTATGGGGGCGCGCGCGTCCACCGCTACGTGGAACGCCCCCTTGCGGAACGGTAACAACTTGTCCCCGAGGTGCCGCGTGCCTTCAGGGAAAAGTAACAGTTTCCGCTAAAAACAATACACAACTCATGTAATATTATAAAAAAAATTGAATGGATGGATGTTAGAGTTTGTAGTAAACAGCTGAACAGATCTCGATGAAATTTGCTATAGATGTAGAGGACAGTCTGGAAAAACACATAGACTACTTACTTTTGTTTTTCTCATTCCACTAGGACAGATTCGCGAGCGAAAGCTAGTTTTTCATATAATAAATATTTTTTAATCCACAAACAATAAAACGATTTTTTTGGGCTAACTATATAAGGATAATTTCTGTTTGTACGGTGGGAAACTCTTTAACTGCTATTGCAACATAAAAGTTGTGGTTTGTTCTGAAGATAAGTTGCGGCTGTATTTTTCTCACATCTCTAGAAACTGATATGGTATGATTCAGGTAAATTAACATTAGAATAGTGATGTCATTCGAATATGAGTACTTGCATTAGATAAGTACGTAAATTGTTTACGAGGCTATAATTGACAAGCCAGCGAGGTCTCATGATTAGTTCAGTCCCGTAAATGAATCAAATAGTCGTAAATGTGCGAATAAATACGCAAGTAAGACTAGTCATAAAACAAGCACTTAGTGAAATAATTTCAAAACAATCTTTTACAAAAGTATTTTTTACTCATTATATCCTCGCTCCTACACTACAAAGTTTAGCAACGAATTTTTACATAACGCATAATGGCTTGACATCTGCAACAAGGCCTCCTGATTACTTACGCAAAACAATAACAAAAATTATCAGAAAATATAAAACACATATGACCTTAAATAAAATGGACACTTTTTTACGTCGATCTTTGATAAAATACATAAAAAAATATAGAAGACAAATGTGTTCACTTCCACGTTATAATGTATTCTAAAACTATTATACGAAATGTCTAGCATTCGCAAAATTTACATACGAACGTTACTTTACAAAAGTCCTAATGCATTGCGTAATTTCGTTAATTTGCACCACATGAGTAATAGGAATTAATCATTTGTGTAGCATTGTAAAAAGTAACATAGGCAGAAACAAACCAAGATGAAAATTTTGTTTATAACAATTAAAAACAAAAAATTACAATTTTCATCAACTATGAAGCCCTCTAGCGGTCAATAATGGCAACTTGTGATAAAGCTAGATCAAAACGTCTTATTATCGACTAAGGAATCTGATGTTCCGTTCTACAAATTTGTACTTCTATCTTATGCATGTGCTTGTAGGGAGGTAAGTTTACAGTAATAAATATCAGAAATAACCTTGCCTTAAAAAGTTATATAACCTGCAGACATCTAGCCTCGCAGATTTACGTCTTTAACAGTCACGCATAATATCTTAACCAATTTAAAAAAAAATCTCATGATCTTTTACGACTTGCGTCGATTAGAAAACCGTATGAAAATCTGTCGAGGAGTATTCGTGTTCCTGAGACAGTCGCAGCCATACTCTAGCTTTATTAGGTGTTTATAAAATTATCTACGATTTAACACAGAATAGTCTAAGCGACTCACTCTAAATAGCACACGTTTGGACTCGTTGATCTATCGTGATAGGAAATTGCCCGCGCCTCGCTTTGCCGGACGAAACGACGCTAATGTTTGCCCAGCTTTAGCGATAGTGCTTCGGTTTTAGATAACAGAAAGTGATAATTATTTATGTTTTGTTTAATATAGACTGTCAGTCAATAACTAACAAATACGCAATAGTAATAACATTTAGTAGTTAAAAATGTAATACTGAAATGATACTCTTTGGTATTTAAACACTAAGGTGTACAAGTCAGTTTTAATAATCAGTCTTGACCTTTTCCTAGTTAACCTCTCTTTATGACAATAAAAAATACTAATTAATTCATTATTACAATACTGTCCATGACAAAGAACGTTAAACAATACGAAATTACTTCAATGTAAGCAATCAATAATTAATTTAATTTGTTACTTTGACCTTCTAATTTGTTTTATCGACGTGATAGTACTAATATTCTTACAATTTTTCAGGGTTTCAGTTAATCATAAATTCATTTCCTATGTGATAACATTGACATAAAATATTTTATAGATATCCTATTTTTAAGAAATTAGCGCAACACTAGATCGGCTTAAACGTCCCATCACTATGACATCTGTCAATGTCATTTTTAAGTATTACGAAGCGCGCCATTCTGGCGGGAGTTAGTGCTCTAAGTTTTAGGTTAATTACGTTGTTACAATTATATTATTGTCTAAAACTATGTAGGTGTAAAACACAGCTTAGTAATAATACTATTTTCTCACCATATAGGACTAGTACTACTACTAATTGCCCAAATTCTCAAACAATCGGTGACATACTAGATACACATTTCCATCACGTACAAATACGTAGATACGTGGTGTCCTCAACACCTGAACGAGGTCGCAGGACACGGGAGGAAAACGCACGCAATGAATAACTACACTAATATTAACTTTGACATATTTACTTAAAAAGGACTCTCGCCACGCCCAGGCCTTGGCTTTTATTTAAATAGGTACATTTTAGTCCCACCAATATGGAATACCAAAGACGTCAACACGAATTTTAAAGTCTATCAAACACCAACTGAGGAAATTCTGGGAGTGTTTCCCAATAATCTTTTAACCAATAATTGTGAAGAATCATTTTTATATCCACCGTGGACGTAAACACAGGTAAAAGTTAGTAAATCATACTTCATACTTATATTATAAATGCGAAAGTGTACATGGATGGATGGATGTTTGTTAGAATTTGTAGCTTAAACGGCTGAACGGATTTCGATGAAATTTGGTATAGATGGATAGGATATTCTAGAACACATAGGCTACTATTTTTTAAATTCCACGCGAATGATGTCGCGGGCGAAAGGTAGCACATAAATAAATCAAATGTGTAGCACACTGGTCACTATTACCAATTGTGACAGAACTTTGTACCGAACGCATTAATGCAACTGGACCAGACCGGGACACTCGGGTCACTCTGGTGGTCGATTACGAAACATTCAATGCATTTATTGCACGCTGGCATTTAGTAATACTTGTTGACTTATAGCCAAACATGACTTCAAGAAACTTTTTTTATTAATAAAACCCGGCAAGTTTTAAAATGCCATGCAAAAATATTTAAGAAATCAAAATAAGTATATTCAAAAAGTTTCCGAATAATGTAAATTTTTATGACAATTTTTTGATAGCCATTTTCACCAATCATTTAATACATTTAGAGGTGTCTTTACTAACATTAAAGGCCCATAGTAGGAATTTCTTTTTCACCAAGGTTTATTTTAGCAACTTTGAGTACGAAAAGAACGCTTAGAAGACAATCGACAATCATCTGTATAATTTGTACTTTGCACGCATAAAAATTAAAACTGCTCTTTTTAACATTTTTTTTACAATAGCAATAAAAGAAACAAAAGACGGAAATACATGTTATTCCGCAATAATATGATTCATACGGTTTGTTTACGTCAATTAAATTGTGCGCATAAAGGGTCGCTTTAAACTGTTGACATTCGGAGAAATAATCCTTAAATCGTAACATATAGCTATACATTTCACCCTTTAGAATATCCTTTATTATAATATTAAAGAGTCAAGATTAAAGTATATCAATATTAAAGAGTAAAAGTCAAGATTTTTTAATAACAAGATCGTCAATTTGCAGTTTGCAGATGACATATCCTACGGATGAGCATAAAAATTGTTTGTCTAGTATAATGCATAAGTGTAACACTTTATATTATTGATAGCTAAAACATCAGGTTTAAGATAGCAACATTTTAAAACGATACATAGTTATTTGTGGTGTTTTCTACAAGTTATTATAAATATGTATTACCTTTTGATCTTTAACAGCGAGGCTCTGTTTGTTGAGGATGGTCTGCGCTGATCGCGCCCCTCGGTCGATGAACACAGTACCCCACAGCCACGCACCGGTACCAAAAGGTGCTAAATATTGCAGCTCTCGTTTGGATACCACCGTACACCGTGACATGAGAGGCCACAGTTCGGACAACACTGGAAAAACAAATGAATCATTAAATTAACAGCTAATGTTATTTGTGAATTTAAACTTGTAAGGCCTGTCCCACCACTAACTGATAGGGGCTCGAATAGCTTAAAATGGCATCACTGACAGATAAGGTAACAAAATCCGATATTTCCATCACATATTCCACGTTGGATTGTTTTTTTTTTATTTTAAGTGAAGGGGACGACAATATTGTTGTTATACAGGTGCTAGGATTGTATAAACCGTTATTAGCTGGTCTTAGCCTTAGTTAAGAAATGAATTTGTTACAAATTTAACAGCTTGTATATGCGTCAAGGTAAATTTACTCTATGTACTTTAGTAATTGATACTAGAGGACACTTGTTGAGTTTTTATTTTAAGTTAAAAACTGTCAACGAAATCTGAACTAAAAGTATGGAAGCTTTTGTCAACAGTGCAATAAAGGAGGTCAAAGCCCGAAGAATGAGAAAGTTGGCCATCGTTAATTCGGCCAACTGGTTTTACTTTGTACTTTATTTTTGTAATCAAGATAAGTACAAAACGGTTTTCTTTTCATAAATAAAATATAATGAAGTCTATAACTCAGGTCCGACGCAAATAGCTGACAAATAAAAAAACACAATTACCATAACTTTCGCCATATTTCCATAATTGTCGTGTCTGTTAAGAGTTATGTCGGTTTAACAATGTTTACTTTGAACAAAGTAAATATTACACAACAAACTAAAATGACTACGTTTCCGGAAACACACACAGCAGAAAAAGATCATAAAAAAATATTACATTAACTACGTCAGTTATCGTAACTTATGGAAATTAATTACAGAAAAAAAATTAATGTCGATGGCATCAATAGATTGTCACAAGACAACAAAAAAGTCTCATCAAACAGTAAACAAAAAATAATGAGAAATGTATTAATTACAACATTAAACCATTTTTTATTAAACTAACAAAGTTTACATGTTAATTTTGAAGGCCTCTTTTTTGTAATAAACCATAGCAATTTTCGACAAATGGTTTATCAAAAGAATTCATTCATATGATAACATTTTATATTTTGACAAAGTGAATATCAAATTAAATCATCCATGGATGTTTGTTGGAGTTTATAGCCTAAACGGCTGAACTGATTTTGATGAAATTTGGCACAGATGTAGAGGCTAGTCTGCAAAAACACATAGGCTACCCACTTTTGGTTTTTTCAATTTCACTCGGACGGAGTCGCGGCCTAAATTTACTATAGAAATAAAATATATTAGCCCTAAGTAGAGAATAAAGTAATAAAAGTAGAGAATAGAAAACATTTACCAAAGAGATCTATGCTACTCTGATGGTTCAAGAGTACAACAGCTCCGCGGCTGTCGTCAACATTTTCCAATCCTTTCACTGTCCACCGAATGCCCAGCATTCTGGACGTCAACCTTGATAACGCAGCTGGTATCCTATAGTAACAGTATAAACGGTAATTTTAGTATTCAAATTCGAAAAGGTATGATCGAAACAATACAGATCACTTCGTTGACCTGGACAAAGTTACATAATCTTTTTCCTAAAAATATCATCATTTGCATACTCGTTTTATTTTAAATGAATACATTTAATATGTTGAATATTACAAGCTGTTCTGCACTAACACTGGTGTAGGTTATGTATGTCTTTACGAACAAAACATTCATTTTATATCGTATCAATAGTTAATTGTACAAAGAACTGACCTTAAGTAGTTCAATACGGTCATAATATTTAATTATATTTCATAATAATCATTACTAAAACTAATACAAGTATATCACGAAGTAAATTTTCTTATAACCGCTTGAAAAATATCCGATCCTAAACTAAGAGTTGAACAACTAATATATTGACAAAAACAGATAGTTGCAACGAGTAGCATAGTTTTCAACCACAACAAATTGATGGTAGTGCATCCCTGCCATAGCCTAGAGAAACTTAAAACATTAAAATAGAATCAAAAAAAGTTGCCTAAACTCACTACGGACCTACATAAATAACTACAATCCCTTTGGAATAAAAAAAATCTAATAGCCTTGTCCATCGACTGGCGATGCACTTGATTGTTGTGTTGATCTAAAATTCCACTACTATTTTTCACGTGTATTCCTTCCTGACGGAATTAATTACCCGTGGTTATTTTCAACGTATACAGGTTGATCTCTTAACTTTGATACGAAACAATGAAGGATTTATATCAAGGTAGTTAATAACGTAAACTTCCCTAAAGGCACTGTCTTGGGCTCCTCTAGTGTGGTAATGCTTGGTTGTCAGATGGTTAGTAAAACTATTGTTTTCCCTTTTCTTCGATGTAGTATTAAAATCAAAGTTACGAGGAGAGAGTCGATCAAAGGTGTTTTATGTAGGGTTTTAATTGATTTTCCTTGTATGTTTCGTAAGTTTGTTTGATGTACAATTTTCCTGTTTGTATTGTACTATTTGTCCAATAATTATGTTATTCTTTTGTTTCTAGTACCTACCACTGCAATGTTTTGACAGCAAACATCGTTTAGTTATTTGTTTAGAATGTTAAAAGGTTTACTTAGTATTTGACGGTCATCTAGACTGCATCATAACCTAAAAATAAACTAATTGTCGTCTGTCACGACAACAAAACATGATGTTTTTTTTTTATTAAATGCATACAAAAAGTCACATAGAAGTTATCAAAGCATGTTTAAGACAAATAAAATGATTGTTTTCGATTGCAAAACCCAGCGCGGAACAGACCGTGAACAAACTTTACAAATTACGCACCAAATAGAGTCGCTGTCACGTTGTAACTAATGCAACCTTGACATTCATTCGTGTTTCGCTTATCAAATACATCTCAAGCCTGTTTTTATTCGTATCCCGAATGACGGAGAAAAGAAGGAGCATAATGTATGTATGTATTCGGTATTATGTATGTTTATTTCATTGTAACTTTGTCTCTGGCTGTCATTCGATTTGTACTCTTCTATAAAGTATTGTAGGAAATTATTCAGGAGTTATAATCATAGTTATTGATTTTAGATTATATCGATTTTTGTTTAAATTTACAGGTGTTTAAAAGTTAATCGCCTTATATAAATCAACTAGGTGATAACTGAGGAATAAATAGTTAGGCCTACAACCTTGATTTTTAGACTTGTTAACGATTAGATAAAAGAAAGTAAAAACAGCTCGAGATAAGTTAATTATCAATTCACGCTATCCTTATGGCAGCGTGAAACATTTCTAGTTCAGTTGATCACAGATTAAAAAGAAGAAAAGGCGGAGATAAAGAAAGACAAGCATTCTATCTCTCTTTCTCTACAAACCAACTCTCTAACCTACTTGTATCGTTAAAAATCTATAATCATAATATATCTACAGATATTTTTTATCTGTTTTTGTCATCAGCAAGGGTTATAAAAAATATATTTACGTAAATTATAAATACTGAGCCGAAGTCCTATCAAATAATTTCTCACACAGATTAGATTTCAAGATTGACATATTTCACTATCTTCTTTACAGAACTGACATTACATCCTCGTACATTGGTAACTTTTCTGTTAATAAAAATAGTAGAATTGAATATTTCAATAAGTTAACGATAGGATATGGTTCGCAGTTGTTTTATAGTGGGAATTGAACTCACAACTATGTAATAGGATATCCGAACTTTTAAGCATTAAAATATCACCGCATTTACAGTCGTATAATAAAATTATAAATATACTTACAAAGCGTTTCTAGGATCGAATGGACGGAATAACATAAGTGGTATCGGCAGTGAAGCAGATAATAACGACAGCACGATGAACAAAATGAACTGCAAACAAAAATAATTTAATTCTAATATAATTATATGCAAAACTAAATGGAAAGAATGCACGAGGTATAGTTTTGATATACTAAAAAAATTACAATTTTCCTATATCCATTTGTATCCAATCGAATTCGATGTAGCATAATAATCAAAAAACAATTTTAACGAGAAACCAGACAGAAATTAATACTCAGTTTCTTGTATAATAATGCTACATAAGTTATTCAAGATAACACATTAAAGACAGCCCTCATCATCATCACCTTCCTCCGTATCTCCCTTAGAGTCGGCGCAACAGAATTTTTCCTCCGCATAACTCTGTCATACGTCATCTTAGTGATCACTCCCTTCTCGATCATTTCATCTTTTACGCAATCCATCCTTCTCTTTCTAGGTCTAAGTGTGTAGATACCCTTTCTTACTCGTAACTAACGTTCTCCTTGTAACATACGATTCATCCCTCCTCACAACATGCCCATACCATGCTAACCTTTTACTCCTTACCTTCTCTACCACTGGGGCTACTCTCAAACTTCCTCTAATATACTCATTTCGTATCATATTCATTCGTGTTAACCCACACATCCATCTTAACATAAAGGTCAGAACTGTTAATTGGTATAAGTAACTGGTAACTCAAAATAACATTTTATCACCTTATAGAACTACAAGAATAATCGAGTCTCGACTTGTGGTCAGAACCAAGTTTTCTCTCGTCTTTTTTGGACATACTCAAACAGGTTGAAGCTTTTAATGGTCAAGCCAAAAATGCATACAAAATTTATTAATTCGATAACAACTTTCTCGCATCATTACTAAAAATAGCACAATTTCTATTATGCGAAGAAAGAATCGGTCGGGAAAAGGTGCGAAAGTTTAGATGGATGGATGTTTGTTAGAGTTTATAGCCTAACGGCAACGGATTTAGGTGAAATTTGGTATTGATGTAGAAGATAGTCTGGAAGAACACGTAGGCTACTTTTGATTTTTTTTACGCAGACGGAGTCGCGGGCGAAAGCTAATTTAAAATATTTTTTTAAAATTATTACTGTACATTTGATTAAAACTCACCTTTATGTAATACCGAGCAATGGAGCTGATTGTGAATAATATTATGAGCAGGGCCATTACACAGCCCAGCACCACGTTGAAGGCCGCCATTTTTCTGTTGACAAACACATTTATATTGAAATAAATATCGCATAAAACCACACGACAAAGAATATATTTCGAACTACACTTAATCGTCAAATAGGAGGAAAATTCAGTAAAATAACTAACCTAAAAACAGACAAAATAAGTTCCTAGTTTTAGTTAATTAATACACCAAAACTGTATCGTTTTATAGATTTTTTATTTTTTATTATAGCGTTATTAACTATGGCAATTTCTACATAGCTTACGTTATCCGATATTGATAAAATTATACAAACAGTAGACTGTTACAGTTTATAACAGATGGCATTTGACTAATATGCAAGAAACGAGTCATCACACATACATTAAAATCTTATGCAATTGAATTATTAACATAATCAGCACCTACTTAAATAATAGAGTTTCAATGAATTTCCTTTGCATCCACTTTTGTGATTTAAAAACACAGTCTAAATAGAAAGAGGGAGCTAATATTACTTTAAACTTCCAATGTCGGAAGTGTTTAACAAAATTAGATTATTTTAGTATGGTTTAATACATGTTGACTCCCATAGTATGTGGACCAAGGGTAGTAAACCCTTTTTTGTGCACTATATCCACAAACGAGCTAATAAGTTTCTGAGTTATACGCAAGCACATTCTGAACAGACATTCACCATACTTGTTTGTAGAAAGTACCGCGGTGAGAATGCAACCTAACTTTCACTGATCTTTACGGACATTATTACTATAACATTATGTCGTATAGCATAATATCAACAGACATCAGTATAATATAAATTATTATGAGATACTAGCTTTCGCCCAAAACACCGTCCTCGCGGAATTAAAAAAAAAGTGAGTGACTTATGTTTTTTTTTCAAACAAACTATCCCCTACGTATATACCAAATTTCATCGAAATCCGTTCAGCCGTTTAGGCTACAAACTAACAAAGATCCATCCATCAATCTAAACTTTCGCATTCATAATATTAGTATGATATTGAATTCATCTACAACTTATTTGAATCTATAACCTAATATTTATGCGTAAATATTTCGCGATCCGAATGACCCGCGCAATCACTGGTCCAATTTCATTTAATATAAACAATATTCAGTTATCTAGACAAAATGTATTGTAAAATTACGAAATGAATACTTTGTTGTACTAGTATTGAATTATGGAACTGTTATTAAAACAAACTAATTAATTGTTACAAATACAAATACAAAAAAGTAAAAAAATGTAAAGAGTAAAAAAATGTTACTCTCTTGTCACTATATAATATACTTTTATAACATGTTTACTGTGTTAACTTCAGTTGTGTAAACCGTAACCAGTTTTTTGTCGCGACTTATTACGCGCGGAAAAAAAAATAGTAACATAACCTAAACTACTCGACATAAGCTTTCTAATAACAATCTTTTTTTTAATTGGTCCGGTAGTTTATGACCTTCGTTACAGAAATACAAATATATCCTCTTTATAATATCAGTACAAGTACATACATTGAGGAAATAAACAAGGTAAGAGACTGTCCCCTAATCTTATCCACAATGTAGTAAATAAATAAATTTTGATAAGAAGATAGTGCAGTTTAGATAAAATCATTCTAATTCCATTTCAATTAGTTCCTATGTACTATATGAATATTAAGAAATAAGCTATTAAAGAAAACGAAATCCATAAAAACGTTACCACTTACACGTAACAATATGTGGGATTATGTCCCATGGCTTACGCAAGCATACGTAGAAACAGCCACGAAATAATGTCGCAACAAATTTTGCAGTCGCATGAAATATGAGTTTTAAGCCAAGCATTTCAGTAAACAATACGTGTAATCTTACTTCTTACTATAATAATATTACAAATGCAAAAGTTTAGATGGATGGGTAGACGTTTGTTAGAGTTTGTAGCCTAACCGGCTGAACAGATCTCGATGAAATCAGGCATAGACGTAAAGGATTGTCTAGAAGGAAATATAGGCACAATTTGTTTTTAATTCCACACGGACGGGGTAGCGAAAGCTAGTGGAACAATAAAATTTTACTCACATTATCCTATCTTTTTCCCTCAAAAGAAAAAAAAATGTTTTTTAAACCAGTTACAGCTACAAAATTTGTTACTTTTAGCTTAATCAGAAATATATAAAACCTTTGAAATACTACCATTTTACTCTGTTAGTAATTATCAACAATAGAATGCATATTTGAAATAAAACTTCGATTCTAAACGATTTTCATAAAAAAATAATGATATAGACAAAATCAAAATGTTTCTTATTACATAACTAATTTATTCAGGCATTTTATATGAATAGTAATTACTGTATATTTATTAGAGATCAAAGTTCTTATAAAAACTTAGAGGGAAATGGAAAACTTTTAACTAATAATATTTATTATAAAGAATTCACATACATAAGGCTTGTTATCAGACTATGACAAAATATACATATATCGTGTCCATTTCACTTATAAAAAAGTCATAAAATTGAAAAATAAAAATTTAATAGCGAGGAAAAATTGCACTTGTGTAACATAATGTTCTGCTTATCTAGTCGTAAGATACACGACAACCGCACTGCATTACGACACAAAATAAATTGCTGAAGTACATACAATGCATGCATGATTAGTAAGATAACCTCTCTAATGAGCTATGATTAAAGCAAACAAACTTTACAAAGTAAAATATGTTTATTATCATTACATTACGTAGAGTGAAAACTTTGTACCCCATTTTAAGGAAATTGGGGGAACAGATGAACGTGTGTTCCAACTTTCAAAGTCGCGGTCTAATCCTCGTAAATATATCTATCTATACTAATATAATAAAGCGTAAACACATACACGGCGTAGGATGTCAGCAATCACAACATAAATTTGAATAATTCTCTCTTTAATAAAAAGCGCTATTAAACTTAGAGGGTAAATAAATTTGAGAAATCCTTTATATAGGAAATGGACCATAACCAAGCTGCCAACATTAAGGAAGCAAAATTATTATGGTAACGCGAATTTTTACATTTGCAATTGAGAATTTGAAAAATGTAAACAATAAAATAATAATGTAAGCGATAAAATTTTAGGCCTTTTTTGCTTTCTTTGATTACGTAGCCTAAGCCTATAAAACTTACATAAAAATGAAGTATGAAAGAATCCCTTTAAATTTGCTAAATTAAAGTCCGGATAGCATATATCTATCAATTAAGGTTGACGAACAAAAAAACAAAAGACATAGTGTAGTTTAATAGATGTAGCAAGGGCAATGATTACACATAGACTCCTTTGTATCCTAAGCCCTCTAGAACAATGCGCGTTTGATGGACCAGAGATAACAACCGGTATTGATAAAGATGTTACAAAATTAGCCCTTGTATTATATCTATATCTTTTGTTTAGATTACAATTAGTGTTTTAAGGTAAATCTTTTACTAGAAAAGGAGCATTGCTGTTGCTCGCGAGTTCGTCCGCGTGAAATTAAAAAAAAAAACAAACATAGCCTTAGTTATTCACTGATAACGTATCTTTTGAATGGTGAAAGAATTTTTAATTTTGACCCAGTAGTTTTTGAGTTATTTCAATATATATAAAAATCCAAATAATTCCTATTTATAACATTAGTTTAGATATAGATAATGGGGCGACCGCCCAGGGCGACGAATATAAATGGGCGCGACAGATGTATAAAAATACGCCATGGGCGTCCTTTTTCGTATAAGGTTGTTTTACAAATAGAGGGCGCCTTTTTTTCAAATTGCTTATTGGCTACGCTGCTTACCTCTACAATTAACAACCATTAACGTAAAATTATTACACTTAATTATTTCTATTAAAAAAGTTTAAACAAACTTAAAACTTTCATAGCCTAATCCCAGAGTAATTAATATTATTTAAAAATAAAAATTATTATAACCATAAATTACAATCGCAATCGAGTGAAATCGTAAGTCGTAAAAACGTAAAATAATCAAAAGACAAATCGTATAGATATTAAGTGACATTACTCATCTTTTTTATTGCTGCTTCATCAACCAAAGCCGAAAAAATAACCGATAAAGATGAGTAGTAAATTAAGAGAACAAGATATAAACAAATTACAAAAAAATTACATTTTTTTAAATTCTACAGTGAGTAATTTGATTGATAAAATATCTATACTTCTATACTAATATTATAAGTAATAAAGATTCGTATTTTTGTATGTATTCAAATAACTCAAAAACTACTGGGCCGATTTCAAAAATTCTTCCACCATTAAACAGCTACTATATTAATTCTAATACACTTCTAAAGAATCCTTTTTCTACCCTCCAAAAACATACAGATAAAAAATAAAGAAGTGACAGGAGCTTTATAGTTAACCTTTGCATTGTAAAAATCACATCATTTACTGACCTCAACTTCTAATGTATTTTTTTTAATTTATTTAATTCCAATTATATTCTTATAAGAATAACATGACAGCGAAAAAACAATAAACTAGCTCAGGCACTGTTGATATTAGGTTTGTTTTAAAAAAAAATAAAAGTTGCCAGCAACTTCAATTCTATATACAATATCTTATTGTTCTATTCTACGATAAACTCAATAAAAATGTAGGCTGATTTATTTAATTCATGGATGCCCTCATAACATCGTAAGATATTATAAGATTGGTCATCTCATCAAAATCACGCTACAATAATGGCGCCAAAAATTAATTAAATGAAAACTTACTTTTAAAAATAAAGCAAACTTTTTAAATCTATAACACACTTGTTACGTTAGATTCATTTAAAAACGCGACTCAAAAAACTCCACGTAATTTTAGTCAATACTCAATATTGACCATTCAATACAATCATCCGACTCGACCGGCGGAATGACTGCAACTGGTCGCTTAGTCCAAGTTAACAAACGACGTCACGTTGCCACGTCAGAATACAACCCGATAACTTACGATAATTGCCAGGGAATTCAATGCAGGGAACACCAGGGTACATGACTCTTACCATTACATCTTACGCAAACATTCCATATTAAATTTAAATACTACAAATTAAATAAAAATGGCTGGATATCACAATTAATTAATTTATGAAACTTGGTTAATACATTTACATAATTAAACGATTTTTAGATATAATTAAAGTACTTAGCATGCGCTTTACCGCTTACTTATATCCCTTACTCATAAAATACGTAAGCAAGAATATTTGTTTGTTATATTTCCGTTTCAAATTAAAGGTAACTTCCGTTCCGTTTCAAATTAAAGGACTCCGTCCGCGCGAAATTAAAAAAATGAATAAGTAGATGTGTTCTTCCAGACTATGCTCAACAACAATGCCAAATTTCATAAAGTTCCGTTCAGCCTTATAATATACGTTCTAACACACATCAATCCAAACATACAAACTTTCCCATTTATAATATTAGTAAGAAGTATAATAGGCCAAGAGGCTAGTCAATTTATAATCACACTATTAATATCCAACAAACTAAAGCAATGTCAAGTCCAAGTACACTCAATAGGTCATAATTAGGTCGCATTGCTCGTCCATTATCATGTTTACTCGGTCATACGTAAATTGCATTTTTTACACTTTAAGGGAGACATCAATAAAATTATTTCTTTATGTTCGGCTGAAATACTAGTCAGTTAAAATAAAACAAACACAGCCATTATTATCCCTATATCTTAGAACAATGCATTTCAAAATACTTCTTTCGTCATATCACGCATATCGGATAAACATCCCGAAAGATAAGCAATAAAAGTATGATTATTTTTTTACACTTGAAAGAACTTTAACCTTAGTGTATAATTTCTCGTATCTAGTTTCAATACAAATAAAATGATTCTTTGAATAAGCAATATACATATTATATAACTCTGTTTCATAATAAGTTAACGAGAATATCATAGAAGACTATCACGTCTACGTTTGACGAATACTTAGTGCGCCTACAATATTTCGTACAATTTTACGATGGATACAAATTAATAGAATTAAAATACCAACAGTTTATATGGTAATTAACAAATACTGCTCTAAGTTTGTGGCATGAACATAATCGAATGACGGGAAATCAACCCACAGCCACGATGCCCACATACTGAACCATTAGGCCTTTCTAAATTTACTACTATAGTGGCAGTTGTTCTAAAATAATTTACATTTCAAATACTCTTGTAGTATTAATAGTACTAGATACTTGTCAAGAATACTGTTAACAAGTCGCATACTATCATTAAATAGTGTGTCTATCTAATACAATAAATTTGGGATAAAGGAAAACAAATGTAATGCTTAAAAATATATATTTAGAGTAAAAGTTAAAAAATAAATAATTTTACAATTAATTAAACATTGATGTAAAGCTTGCGTTATGATAAATAGTTGTGTTCTTGTATTCAATGTTAAAGCATATGGTGTTTATAAATTTAAATATTGTGCAATTGGTTTTATCAAAACATTTTCTTCTTCATAGCAGTATATCTTTCTATATATTCATTATAACCTTCAAGCAATGCTAGTTGTTTCGTTTCAAATAGATTACCATCTAAATTTATTGTATGAATTTTGGAATCTCTCAATAGACTAGGCCTTATAGCATCTAGACTTAAGCAATTTTCTTCTAATCTCAATATCTTAAGCTTTGGAGCCAAGTGCAAATCTTCACTTAGACTTGAAATCTCATTTTGACTTAAATTTAATTCCGCAGCATATAAATTTATCATCCCTTCAGGTATTCCAGTAATTTTGTTGTTGGAAAGATCAACCACTTCCAAGTTGTTTAAGCCTAACAACTGTACTGGAAACTCTTTAAATTTATTGTTGTTCAGATAAATTTGTTTTAGATTACTCAAATTAGTTATTTGCTGTGGCAACGATGCAATAATATTGTAGGAAATATTCAACATTTCAAGTTTCTTTACACTAAACAAGGAATCTGGTAAGTTAACGATACTGTTTGTACTCAGATTCAGTTGTTTCAGGTGTTTCAGGCGATTAATTTCATCAGGGATACAACGAATTTTATTCTTCGATAAATCTAAGTTCCTTAAATTGTCTGATAAATTGAGCACCTCCAAAGGGATTTCTTTTAACTTTCGTTCAGATATTTGTAAAACACCCGTCTTCGCTGCCGTCTCATAATGTTGTTTCAGACCTGAATTGCCCATTACTGGCACTTATACTTATACTCCGTTACTCATATAAAAATAAACTTCTTTTGCACTTTGCAATTACAGCAAATATGAAACCAAAAATATACTTCTGCTTAAAACTTTAAATTATCAAATCATAACATTTATACATTTTTAGCTCATATCGATTGACAGTTGACAGTGAATGACAGACACTTGACAATTTACAAGACATTTTGTTTTGGAACATTTTATGGCTCGGTTACAAGGCTTTTGAGGCAAGAGTGAAATGTATTATTTTATGTAAATGTAAATGTGTAATATTCTCAGTAAACTAGTGTCTGTAATATGATTAGTATACGGTAAATACGTCTTAAGTGTTAAACGTTTAATTATTATAAAAACTGACCAAAATGTTTTACTTAATTGCTGCGAGTCTATCAATTGTACATAGAAAGCAAAATAAAACATGAAAAGTAATTTTGCGCTGTAAGCGATATACCAGGCTTTTATTTATTCATTTTTGATATTTTTTTAATCTGAATCGATTCACTTTGTAGCGCCCTCTGCAAGTATTGATACTTGTGATAACCTATAACCTAGTTAGAAGCATTCATAACGTTTTTTTCTATCTGTGCCGTGCATATCTTAGAAGTAGTATTTTGTAATTTTTATAGAAAATTTTATGTATTAACGACATTATGTATTTCTGAAATTAAGCAAAATGGATTTGAAGACGTTGATGTAACAAAGTAATCTGAATGTTCATTGAACATTTTATTATTCATAATTTGTTACCGCGGGAAAACTGTGAGACGTTTGACTACTATAATGGCCGCAATAGCGCCAATGCTTTTAGTGTTTGTTCTTTCCTAATAAAATTTTAGAATGGAATAAGGTTTCTGTATGTTGTATATATTAAAAAGAAACTTATTTGAAATGGACGCTGGTAAGTTTTTATTTTAATAACTGAATGATAGATTTTTATTGCGAAAGGAATGACCGTAAAAATTTCTTCACTCGGGCGTTTGTAGACATACTTTTTAGCGTAACCCTATCATATAATTAATCCAACAACTGTGAAATATTCACGATAAATCATAAACAATACAATGTTTTCACCTGGCTTAAGATTCTAGCAATTTCCTACTAATTGTAGATGTATAAAATTAACAATGACTCCATCACTATAAAATCTCTAAAATAGTATACTATGGATAAATGTAAAATCTTTTAAATACTTACACATTTTAAATTAATTAATCACCTTTATAAATTACAGATTACATGTTTTGACAACTACTTCTTATGTAAATCTTGTCACTTTTCAATTGAGTATGTTTTTAATTTCATTCATGAGTCCAAGACACAGTAAAATGACATTTAAACATTTTTAATATTTACTAAACTATTTCTCTTTGATTTCCGAAATTTATTTTATAATATCTTAAGATTTTATTTGTATTTGCTAAAATTATGACCAAGGCAGATTAATTTTACAACTAAATCTACTTTGTTTTTAATTATTTTTTACTATTATATATCACCCAAAAAGTAATTTATTTGTTTTTTATTGTGCTGACCATTGGATTTCACAAATGTAAGTATAACCACATTAGACATTTAATAACATATCTCCAAATATTTAAAAGACTCAAGAATGTAAAGAATATGTTCCAAGGTAATAAATCCTATGTGGCACCTCATAGTTATTAACACAAAGAAATAAAATATAACACCATATTCAGGTAACATTGAAACATGGTACAGATGCATACACATTTTTATATAATTAATAAACTAACCCTATGTCCCAGGATGTATTAATAAGAGTAATATTAAAAAACCAAAATAATTATAACCAATAAAAAAATTGTAAAATACTTTAACAGCTATCAACACAAATATCCAAGAAAAAACTACTACTTTTTTATCCTCCTATTATTTGTATTAATTTACATTCAATACATTTTACATGCAATTTCAATTCAATCCATAAAGATTTACACAGAATGACAATTTATGTAACATTTAAAACCTACTTTACTTGCACAAAATACATCTTCTTCAATACATGGCATAGAAATATACCAGAATATATATATAACAATTATTAATAAGTGGTTAATTATAAAAAAAGTTTAAATGTTTAATATAGAATTTTTGTTTTAAGAGGTTTCAAGGCAGTTGTCCCTGATCGATGTTCTTCTGAGCAACCTTGACAAAACTATTACGCCATGTGCCAATATAAAGAATGACAAAAAAGAAGAAGAAACACAGGATGCAATGCCAGACTCTACAACCAACACGGAAAAAAATAACGGCAACCCATTCCACTGTGGAGATGATGTACTTGTGCTAAATAAAGATGACCGATATTACTTAGGTAAGTTACTTTATGCTTCTAGTTTTATTATATGATTTGTAATAGATACTACACAGATAAAGACTAATTTCCATTAGATTCAAATATTGTACAGCAATCTGTTGTGATAAAGATTTTAATGTGACATGTCACTTAATTATATTGTGAGTTTACAATGTTATCCATCTAAATGGGTAGAAAATTTAAACATATACAGACAGACAGACTTGTAACTGTAAATACTGTTCATATGTTTATAATGTTATTCCACAAAGTTGGGTAGAAAATCTGAACATATTAAAAGGACAGACTTGTAAGTGAAGGGCTAAAAATACTGTTCATATTGATAAAACACTCAAGTACACCTAAAATGACTGGTATACTATACTTAGATGTATGAATGTGGAAGAGACAAGGTGTAGTAGGATTGTGTAGAATGGAAGTTGCTAATGAACCTATCTCACTAGGCTGCAGTTGTGATTTCTTTTGGATAGGAAAAACATTATCAGCTCACTATATGTCTCTACCAAGGTGCTTGAGACTACTCTAAGCTGACCCAGTGGATCTCACGCATAGATGTTTGAATTATACTGAATGAATCTTGATGAAATTTGGCATAGATGTAGAGGATAGTCTAAAAGAACACTGGCTACTTACTTTTTTTTTAATTCCATATGGGCAAAAGCTAGGAATAAATGTACTATCAATGTAAACCAGGTACAATAATAGAGCTAAGTACGAGCAATGACAACGACTCGTGCGAGGTGGGCACGGGTGATGCGCGATGCCTCGTCAAGTTCGGCGACGGTACTCACGCGTGGGCGCCGGTCACCTCGCTCAAGCTGCTGTCGGCGCCGCCAGCGGACGATGGCCGCATCATGTGCGTGGTGTGCAAGCGCCGAGAGGACTGCGACACGAACGCGGTGGTCGCCTGCGATATGTGCGGCCGAGGGTACCATGCTAAGTGTCATACACCACCCGTTGAAGGTTGGATACATGGTAAGAACTTATGTAACAACTTTATTGTTAGAACACTTCTAAAGATATTGAACTGTGCGGTATTATCGCTTTTATAGTATCAAAATTCTTTTTCCAAAAGTATTATAATAATCATCAGTTCGCTATAAATCACTATTGAAGGGCTCACCTATCCTAAGTTATGGGTGACTGCCATAGTCTACTCTAAATGGCCTAGTGTGGTGTGGTTCACTTCATATACATGATTCTTACTGGACTGGATCAATGGTTTTGTGGAAATAGAGGACCTCAAAAGCTATCGTTTTAAGTGCAAAGTGTGTTGCTCGATTTTCTATAGTATTTAAGTTATTTAATGTTTTGTAAAAAAAATCTGAAAAACCTGATGTCCAACTACAATTGGCCGCTACTGTGTCAACCTAAGTTATGGGTGGCCATAGTCAACTATACTGGCCCAGTGTGGTTTACTTCATATATCATTGATATTTTCTCTCTTAGCCTTTGTAAAGTATATTTGAGTAATGTGTGTGCTAGGTGCATCATGGCATTGCAAGAGATGCGTAGAGCAGCGCTACCGCGTGGCCGCGGCGGAGAACCGCGCGCTCAAGAGGTCCGACCTGTTCCGGTACAAGGGCGGCCAGCAGCGCCGACAGCAACAGGAATTAACACCCCCCTGCGATGTAAATAATATTTATAACAATGTCACTTAAAAAAAAGAGTAATCGCACCTTAATTCATAAAAATAAATAACTCAAATTGTATGTTTTTTGGGAAATTTCGACTGAGGTTTGGCTTCTTTACACAGATTTGAAATGAGAGAAAAATAAGTCCTCTTTTTGTTTTATTGTGACGCAAGTTGAATTAGTCGTATTGTTCACGCAAAAATAATGTCGTTTATGATAAAAACTTAACATAAATTTGGGTTTATTATTTTTATGAATAAATGTACGTTATCGTTATCTTTTTTCGTGGAATAGAAAAAAGTGTACTATTAAAATTAACTTTAAAAGAAGGTCATTAACAACTTGTCTTTGACTCGAAAAGTATCCCTTATTAATTAAAATTGATGCAATTTAGTTTGGTTTTCAAGTCCCAAAGAAATTGGTATACTCAATACATATACATAAATATTGTGTAATATATTTTAACTTTTTAGTGTTGAAAACTAGCAACCATATATAACCATAAGGACGCATGCACTTTGTAATTTTTTTTTCCATATGTTTGATGCAGACTGCGTCGACGACATCCTCGTCAACTGCTTCTGATGGAGGTAAAGATCAGAATGAAACGCATTGCTACTGCGGAGAGAAAAGTGACTGGCTTGCACAGGTAATACTAACAAATGATTATTAAATACTAGCTTTCTCCTGCGACTCCGTCTGTATCGAATTAGAAAAAAACAAAAGTAAAGAGCCTATGTATTCTTCCCGACTTTTCTTTTAGATCTATACCAAATTTCATTAAAATCTGTTGAGCCGTTTAGGTTACAAAATCTAACATATATCCATCCATCTAAACTTTCCCATTTATAGTATTAGTATGACTTTTAATGTTAAATAATGTTTAAGATTGTAATAACCTATTTATTTCAGATGCTATTATGCTGTAGATGTTCTCGATGGTTTCACCAAAGATGTGTATCAAGTTTGCAGTACCCGCTCTATGCTGGTGATAAGTATGTTAAACTTATACAATATTAACTTTCATAGTGTTTCACAAAGTAACTTGAAAAATGTAAAAGTGATATAATTTGTTAATAATTTTATAATCAAACCAACTAGGCCAATGACTATGACTAAGGGTAGGCTAATAGCCCCTCAGTGGGTACTAACAGTGATCTAACATCAGGTTGTATATATTCGCGTGCGGCGCCTGCAACGGCGGCGGCGAGTACCTGCGCCGGCTGGAGCTGTGCTGGCTGGAGCTGGCGCACCTCGCGCTCTACAACCTCACCGCATACAACGCTCCCAACTACTTCGACCTGGACACTGTCATCATGCCCTACATCATGGACAACTGGCATGCGCTGCAGCTGCCCGAAAAGGTTACTAT